TCGCTGACTGCCCGATAGTGGGAAGCCCTCCTACGCCGAGCACGGGCGGGAGGGGCGGGGTGTGCAGTATATGTACTGTACCCATGGGAGGGAGATGCGGGAAATTGACTGCGCGCACGGGGGGGGGGTTTGCTGCCGGGGGACACCAACGGCAGGGCTACACGCGGGGACGGGTGCGCGGTTGAGGCGGGTGCGCTTGGGGCGGGTGCCGTTGCGAGACAGGGGTGCGGAAGACGACGCGCGGCTGTCTCGCAGGAGAGGAGCTGGTCGGGCCCGGACACGTGTTCGGGGCGGTGGCGTTTCCGGCCCTCTGTAGTTTTTACGAGTTTCTACGATATATTCGCCCGATCTGAAGAACAGCAACGAGCCGCACGCTTCACCGCCGGGTTCTCACCGCCGTGTCTACGCCTACTTTCGAGACACTCCCTGCGGCCCGCCCTACTGCACCGGCCCTCTGCGGCCCGCAACGCCACCCGAAAGCCCACTGCAAATTTCTCAAAAAAAAACTTTTTCCCGCTCCCCCCTTCTGTACAAGACCCGCTGTCCCATCCACCCCCCGCACCCCTAGCGCCCGACCCCCCCCTCCCCCCCAACGCCCCCTACGCCTTAACGCCCAGCCTCCAACTGTTCCATCGTCTGTTGCATCGCGCCCAGGCACCACCCCAGCTCCACGTCGTTGATCTTGTCCATCACCATCAGCTCCGCGCCACCGCCCTCGGTAATCCCGTGCCCCTTCTCCAAGTGCCCCACGATGAACGCAAGGTCGAAGCAAAGGTCTGTCGCCACCCCGTTGGGCACATTTGCAAACGTCGCCATCACCTCATCCACGTTCATCTTACACACCTTCTCCCCCATCTCCCGAATATCCTTCACCGACACCGGCGACTTCATCCCCAGTGCCACCGTCCGCTCCAGGTAGAACGCAATCGCCACGTACTCGCCAATGCTCTTCGGCTGCGCAGCCCCGCCGTACGTGCACACGTCGCACCCGCACACCTCCCCTATCGCGGGCGTCAGCAGCACCTCATCCACCATCGTGCGACACATTCCATAGTCACCGCTGCCCGACATCGCCACCTTCTTCCCCTCGTCGTTGAACGGCACGCTCATCTCCACCGTCGCCCCAGCATTGATACAAGCATTGTCCTCCAACAACCCCCCGGCCTCAAACTTGTCCAGCGCGATCGCGCGCGCCTTCTGCAGCCCAAAGTCCAGGTGCGACACCGTGTACAGCGGCATATCCGTCCCCTTAAACGCGATCTTCTCGTCAGCCGTGGAGCAGTTTCCCTCCTGCGCGGGGGCCTCGCGCGGCACGTACGCGATCTGCGACGACCCGCCGCCCATCTCCAGCGTGCCGACCGTGTCGCCTGCGGTGCGGTCGAGCAGGTAGTTGACCGTGACCCACGAGTACACGGCCTCCTCGTTGCCGGCCAGGATGGACGCCCACTCGTCCTTGTCGAAGCGAAACTGCGAGTCGCGCAGCAGCGCGCGCACGTGCGTCAGGATGTGGCCCGACGCCTCCTCGCCAATCATGCGCAGCCCGGCCGTGGCGCGCAGCACGACCGGCGTGGCCGCGCGCAGGTGCGCCGGCACGCGGTCCATGGCCCGCTCCAGCAGCGGCACCAGCGACCGCGCCGCCGCCGCAGGGTCGTCCTTGTGCGCGGACAGCCCCGGCTTGAGCGCGAAAAAGTCCTCGTGCAGGAGGCGCAGCGGCTGCGACGAGAGCGAGCGGTGGAAGGCGTACGTGTGGATGCGCGAGCCCGTCGACCCCGCGTCGATCATCAGCCCGAAGACCGTCGGCTTGGGCGACAGGAAGGACGGCAGGAGAGACGCCGTGAGCACGAGCATGAGGGCGAGAAGTAGGTAGCGGAACAGACGCGCGTGTGAGGACGGCGGCGAGCGGGAGAGAGGCTCGTAGCCCGGCTTGGAAGTCTTAGGAAGCATGGTGGAGGGCGTTGGCTGGAAGCGACGCATCGGGGAGGGAAGGGGAAGGGAGGGGGAAGGGTAGGCGGGGGGGGGGGGGGGGAAAAAATAAAAGAAAACAAAAATGTAAAATGGCGGGGCGGAAAGAGGGGATTACAAGGGGGAAAATAAAATTT